GCTATGCCTAAACGTGGACCGATATATCCCATCGTCGAACTTGACCTGTCTGCAGACAAAAGACAACCATATGCAAAATTTCAGCACCCTATCTCAATTCCTTCAGAAGTTAGCGTGATCACAACAGACGAACGGACGGACGTGGCTAGATCGTCTTAGAATTTTACCCTGATCAAGAATATATATACTTTATAAGGTCGGAAATGAATATTTCGATGAGTTACAAACGGAAAAACAAAATTAATATGCCCTCCATACTATGGTGGAGGGTATAAAAAAATTATGTGAAATACAAAGGTCCCATTGGAACTTTGGAGACCCATATCTCTGCTGTAATCAGGGCCCCCAGGACTAAATGTGGTAAAAATTTAAAAACGATCCGTGAGGGGGCCCCAAACTAGAATAAAACCTTTTAAAACTCCAAAAAATAATTTTAATGGGCACAACATGGCCCTGGATGATCTTATTTAAAAACATATTTTAATGGTAGTGTCAACATGGTTGTAGATTTTTTTTTTAAATTTTGTGTAACGTCTAAACGTAGGCATGGGATTTAAAATTATAATAAACATTTTTCTATGCTGCATTGTCAAAATTGTCTATTTATCATTTTTTTTGGTAGGTATTACTACTCGCATTTAGCCTCATTTTTGCAGTTTTTATAAAATTCTCTATTAAATAATTTTTTTTAAATTCCTTTTTTTTTTGTTGCTATTTTGTAATCGAATTTTTAATTTTTTAGTATTTTTTTTAAATCTTATTTAAGATTAATTGTTTATTTTTTTAAAAATATTCTTCTTTTATTTTCTAATATTACAGCATATTTGAAGAAAGAGAAAAAAATCACAACAACACTGAAGTGAAGACCACTCACGTAGTCACCCATCCAACCCCATTGAAGAGATGGAGGAGTAAAGTGGAAAGAACAACACGACAGAAAAAAGTTAGGTCACAGACAAATGTTTTTTTTTTCTTTACTTCACTTTAAATACAATTAAAATTTTTGAAAGAAATTATCACTAATTTTTTTCTAAAATTCTCACAAACTTGTTGCTTGAATTATTATTTAATAATTTAATTTAATTGTTTGCTTTTAAAACCCTTTAAATTCTTTAAATATTACCACACACACAATAAACAAACAATTAAAAAAAACAACCTCCTCTAAAGTCAAACAGCTGATTTTTGTTTTTTTTTCTCTCTGTTCATCGCCTTTACTATGCCGTTTTATTTTGAGGAGACTGCATTGCATTTGTTTGACCACTTAAATGGGAGACAAGCTCTCTGTATGTTAGCCTCTCACTCTCTCTCTCTCTCTCTTCCATTTAGGGCTCCACAATGTTGGGGGGACAAAAAAAAACATGAAATTGCAACACATTTAAATTTGACTCTCTGCGAATGAAAACCCCCATTCTCTCTCTCACTCTCTTTATGATTATGACACTTTTTTATACTCGCTGTTCAATTGTTCCTTATGTTTTGTTATTTTTCTGTTTGTTACGTTTTGTGTTTTTTGTTCATTATGTCTTTTGGCTACATTTCTTGCAGAGATTTCTGCCTGGCTGGCCTGGCCTGCCTCAGCCAGTGTGTGACACATAAAAACCCCCCCAATTGCCACAACAACAAAACATTCCATACGATAACATAAAATCAAATTCCAATCATGAATATTTTTGATTGACACTCACTTGAAAGACTTTTGTTGTTGCTGTTGTTGATGGTCACCTTTTCTTTCTTTTTGTCAAGCAAACATTTGGCAATGCTTCTCTTTTTGTTGTTGTTGTGATAACACTTTAATTAAATATCAATTTTTTTTTTTGATTCACTTCTTTAGCTTCTTCTTCTTCTACTTGACTCTACTAAATTTTTTTCTGTTGTTGCTCTTTCTTTGATTTCTTGAAATTTCTTCTTATTGGATCACAAATAAGCAAGACACAACGCGCCGCAACGTACCGTACCGCCACCGACGAACACACACACCGTGGTTGTTGTTTTTGTTTGATGAAAACAGAACAGCAAAAAATAGGCAAACCAAAAAAAAATTGGAAAACAAAAAAATTAACAACACCACACAAAACCTAATTCATGCACACCGCCGCACTTGCTTGCAACAACACCAAGAACATCATCAAACGAAGAAAAGCCACTTCATGCAGAAGAAGAAGGAAACGAAGAAACACGTTATTAACACTTTTTTTCTGTGTCGATTTGTATCGTTGTTTGATTATTTTTTTTTCTTTCTATCACTACGAGGAGTTATTGGTTTGGCTTGTTTGTTTTTGTTTTATTTTTCTTTATAAAGGAAACGCGCAACGGAGCCGTGTGTTAACGTACGCCAATCACCACCTATTTGGTTGGGTGTTTCAAAGCAACTGATAAACTGAACGTGGTCGCACTCAGAGCACACAGTTTTGTTTGGGGACAGAACAGAGCAGACACAAACAACAACAAACGAATGGAGAGCCACACAAAACCACCGAGATAGAGAGAGTACCATACACACCAACGGAGATATGTTGTATAAAGGCCGTGACAGAGAGAGAGAGAGAGCGTGTGTGTGCTCCACACAAACAAGTAGTTGCTCCCCCATAATAACGAAACAAATGAGACAACCGAATGGAATTGAAACGCATGCCAAAGCAAGCAACACTTGCCATGCAAAAACAAAACAACAAAGTGGCTGGCCTCATTGAACGGCATTGCCAGCATTGAATTAGATATTTAACACACAGGAAGTCATGGGGGGCTAGTTAAAAATCGTATAAAAATTATAATTTTATAAAAATTTTATTTTAAAGGCCTTAACCAAGGCTTGAATTTTTTAAAAAATAATTTTTGGAGTTGTTCAAAGAAGACGTGAATTTTTTTAATAAATCCACGCCTATAAATCCACGAAAATAAATCCACGCCTTGTTGTGACCCTTGAAAATAAATCCACGCAGCCAAAAATGAATTTTAAAACATCCACGTCTCAAAAAAATTAATTTTAAAACATCTACGCCTCAAAAAATGAATTTAAAAAAAATCCACTCCTCCAAAAATGAATTTTAAAACATCGACGCCTCCAAAAATGAATTTTAAAACATCGACGCCTCCAAAAATGAATTTAAAAAAAATCCACGCCTCCAAAAATTAATTTTAAAAAAATCCACGTCTCCAAAAATTAATTTTAAAAAAATCCACGCCTCCAAAAATTAATTTTAAAAAATCCACGTCTCCAAAAGATAATTTTAGAAAAATCCACGCCTCCAAAAATTAATTTTAAAAAAATCCACGCCTCCAAAAATTAATTTTAAAAAATCCACGCCTCCAAAAGATAATTTTAGAAAAATCCACGCCTCCAAAAATTAATTTTAAAAAAATCCACGCCTCCAAAAATTAATTTTAAAAAAATCCACGCCTCCAAAAATTAATTTTAAAAAAATCCACGCCTCCAAAAATTAATTTTAAAAAAATCCACGCCTCCAAAAATTAATTTTGAAAAAATCCCCGCTACCAAAAATTAATTTAAAAAAAATCCACGCCTCCAAAAATTAATTTTGAAAAAATCCACGACTCCAAAAATTAATTTTGAAAAAATCCACGACTCCAAAAATTAATTTTAAAAAAAATCCACGCCTCCAAAAATTAATTTTGAAAAAATCCCCGCTACCAAAAATTAATTTAAAAAAAATCCACGTCTCCAAAAATTAATTTTAAAAAAATCCACACCTCCAAAAATTAATTTTAAAAAAATCCACGCCTCCAAAAATTAATTTTAAAAAAATCCACGCCTCCAAAAATGAATTTTAAAACATCCACGCCTCCAAAAATAAATTTTAAATTTATTCTACAAAAGGCACGCCTACAAAAATTAATTAAAAAAAAAATCCACGCCTCCAGAAATTAATTTTAAAAAACAACAACTCCAAAAATTAATTTAAAAAAACAACAACTCCAAAAATTAATTTAAAAAAATCCACGCCTATAAAAATTAATTATAAAAAAATCCACGACTCCAAAAATTAATTATAAAAAAATCCACGACTCCAAAAATTAATTTTAAAAAAATCCACGCCTCCAAAAATTAATTTTAAAAAAATCCACGCCTCCAAAAATTAATTTTAAAAAATCCACGCCTCCAAAAATTAATTTTAAAAAATCCACGCCTCCAAAAATTAATTTAAAAAAAATCCAAGCCTCCAAAAATTAATTTTAAAAAATCCACGCCTCCAAAAATAAATTTTAAAAAATCCACGCTTTATTTGGACCCACGTCTTTGTTGAGGCCTCTAAAATTTATTTTTAAAAAATTAATTTCTCCTTGTTTTATTTTCTCTTGAAATTCAATTATGTAAATTGGAACCTCCTGCAGGATTTCTATCTTATCATAAATCTCTTGAAATCGCCCGCTCCACCCCCATCATAAATGTTAATTGAAACAATTAACAGAAAAGGGGTTCGGAACAAACAAAAAAAAATCTACCATTGGCGGGTAACGTATGGAAGAGCCTCTAGGTAGTCAATCTCAGTCATCAAGTCACCATGTACGCCTCGCCGGGACATTTGATTATTTTGTGCGGAATATTTTGCCTAGTGGCTAAAATTTCTTATTCTACGGAGAGGAAAAATTGGAATTTTGAAAAATTTGGAGCTGAAATAAAATTCAATATTTTTTCCAAATCCCTATTCGATGCCATCTATAGAGAAAATCCGTTCTCTACTTTACTGCTGTATGGAGATCGTGGCTTGGATTATGCAATTTGGGAGTTATTTTCGGATCTTATTGAGGTACCCAAACTGAATATGCTGGAGGGCCATGAGGTGCCTATGAGTGACCACTATAATTCGGAAATTTTGACGGTGATTTTTATGCATGGAAATTTCAATAAAAATCTAATGAAGTCGGTTGCACGAAGTTTAAAAAATATAAGACAAAGTCGCATTGTTCTGATGGCATGGCAGCTGCGGGAGATCCTTGAGTTCCTACAAGATTTTCTGGGGCTGTGTGAAAAATATAAAATGACAAATGTCATAGTCCACTTGCCACCCGAAGAAAAATATTATTACCTACAACCCTATCCGGAATATTCATGGCACTTGAAATCTCTAATATCCGAGGTGGGAATATTCCAACCCCCCAATTGGCGGAATTTATACAATAAAACCCTGTATACCCAACCGGAACATACCCCACCCAATACTCTGATTTTTGAAGATGCCAAGGGCCGCATTCGCCTCAGTGGTTTTGTGGCCCGAATGATATTTTTATTCGGTGAACATTTCAATGCCCATCTGGAGATGTATCAGCCGCTCGATGCCCATAAGGCTGTGCATTTTACCGAAATCACCCATATGGTAAAGGAGGAATTGCTTGACCTACCCATGACCTTGGATGCTGCGGGTAGAGGTAACTGGTGGGATATATCCTATGCTGTATTGCTGAATAAAGTGGCCATTATGGTCCCTCTCTCCTCGCAGCTGGACATTGATGAGGTTTTCCATTTGCTTTTGGATCTCCGATTTTTTCTCATCCTCTGTGTGGCCTCTTGGATGTTCTCCATACTTCTGGGACTCATTGATTATTTTTTCGAGAAGATCACCTGGAATTGGCATTTGTTTGAAATATTTCCCGGGATTTTGGGTCAATCATTCAATGAACATTGCACCCGCCTAATGGGTCTGAGGATGATTTATCTGTTCATTGCCATAATTGGTCTGATCATCAACACGGAGTTTGCAGCCAAGGTGAACAGCTATTTTACCTCGCCACCCTATCATCGGCAATTTGAAAATCTCAAAGACTTGGAGGCCTCCCCCGTGAAAATTCTCCTACAACCTGCCGATGCCGTTATTATGGATCAATGGCTCAAGCATTGGCATCAGGTAGCGGTGGTTGCTGGCAATGCTTCCGATTTTTTTGTGAATCGTCAAAATTTCAACACCACCTATGGATATGTGGTCCAGACCCCTCTATGGGATATTTATCATCGTAGACAAGGATATTTTCGTCGAAATATATTTCACATACCCGCTGCCATGAATCTTCACGATATGATGATATGGGGTATTCCGCTGCCCACGGATTCTCCTTATAGGGAACCTTTGAATTATTTAATACATTTGGTCCATGAACGGGGGTTGATGGACGCCTGGATTGCTGAGACTTATGGTCATATGGTGAAACTTGGATTTGTGCCGCTTCACGATCCGAGTCGTGAGGAGGAATTGAAGGCCCTCAAGGTGGAAGATTTTCAATGGATTTGGATATTACATGTCGTAGGGTGGGTTCTGGGGGTTTTGATTTTTCTAATGGAAATTGTAATTAATTTTTTTAGGAATTTAAAAAATAAATAAAATTAAAAAATAATGAAATTAAAAAAAAATCTCCAAAAAATTAATTTTAAAAAATCCACGCCTCAGTTCAATTTTCCGAACCTGACTGACTGGCTGATTTAACGATTCATCAACGCCCAGACGAAACGGCTGAAGCTAGAATCTTGAAATTTTTGGTGAGGGTCACTCATGGTCCAAACTGTCACCTTTGGCTGGATTTTTGGAAATTCGTACTAGAACGGTACGAAAAGTACTAAAAAGTACTAAATGTGATACCATTTCTATTTGGCGAACCGTTGGAGCTAGAACTCTGAAATTTGGATTGGAGGTCGTTGAAGTGAAGTGTAGGATAGATGTGCCAAAGGGTTTTTGGAAATTCGAACTATTAGTATGCGAAAAGTACTAAAATGTACTAAATTTCGTACAATTTCGTAGCATGTGAATGGATAGAGCTAAAAACTTCAAAATTTGGAATGTGAATTAGGGTTGAGATGTAGGGTCTATTTAAGGAGATGGTTTTGAAAGCGTGTACACATGTGTACGAAAAGTGCCCTATATGGTACTATATTTGGTACAAATTTAATTTGGAAATACAAATCGAGGATTCCAACTCGATTTGTATCTCCAAAAATTTGAAATTAACATAGGATTGGAATATGTATGTAATTTTGGAAATTTGTTACTTATGTGTACGAAAAGTACTAAATCGTACTATAATTGGTACAATTTCGATTTGGGTGAACCGATAGAGCGCCAAAAATGAAATTTGGAGTTAGGATCATTGTAGGGATGTAGGATTGGGGTCAGGACTCAGTTTAAGCAATTTACATTCATGGGTACTAAATGGTACTAAATTTGGTACAATTTGAATTTTGGGTAAACCAATAGAGCTAGATTCATGAAATTTGGAGTCAGGATCACAGTTAAGGTGTTAGATTGAGATATGTAAGAAATTTTTAGAAATTTGTACTAATGTGTACTAAATTTGGTACAATTTGAATTGTGAGTGAAGCAATAGAGTTGGAATCCTGAAACATGGATTTAGGATCACTGTGGAGGTATAGGAATGGGGTATTGGGATATGAACGCAATTTTGGAAATTTGTTTCTTATGTGTACGAAAAGTACTAAATCGTACTATAATCGGTACAGTTTGGATTTGTGTGAACCGATAGAGCTGGAAAATTGAAATTTGGAGTTAGGATCATTGTAGGGATGTAGGATTAGGGTCAGGACTCCGTTTAAGACATTATTACTTATGGGTACTAAATGGTACTAAATTTGGTACCATTTGAATTTTAGGTGAACTGATAGAACTGCGATCCTGAAATTTGGAGTTGGGATCACTGTTGAGGTGTAGGATTGGGATATGTAGGAAGGTTTGGAAATTGGTACTACAGTGTACTAAATTTGGTACAATTTGAATTGTGAGTGAAGCGATAGATTTGGCATACTCAAATTTTGATTTAGGATCACTGTGGAGGTGTAGGATTTGAGGTATTGGGATATGAACGTAATTTTTGAAATTTGTTTCTTATGTGTACGAAAAGTACTGAATCGTACTATAATCGGTACAGTTTGGATTTGGGTGAACCGATAGAGCTGGAAAAATGAAATTTGGAGTTAGGATCATTGTAGGGATGTAGGATTGGGGTCAGGACTCAGTTTAAGCAATTTATATTCATGGGTACTAAATGGTACTAAATTTGGTACAATTTGAATTTTGGGTAAACCAATAGAGCTAGATTCATGAAATTTGGAGTTGGGATCAATGTTAAGGTGTAACATTGAGATATGTAAAAGTTTTAGAAATTTGTACTAATGTGTACTAAATTTGGTACAATTTGAATTTTGGGGTTGAACCGATAGAGTTGGAATCCTGAAAAATGGATTTAGGATCACTGTGTAGGTGTAGGGTTGGGGTAAGTAGAAGGTTTCGGAAATTCGTACTGGGGTATGTAGGAAGTTTTGGAAATTGGTACTACTATGTACTAAATTTAGTACAATTTGCATTGTGGGTGAATTTATAAAATTGGAATCCTGAAACTTGGATTTATGATCACTGTGGGGCTGTAGGTTTGGGTTAAGTAGGATCTTTTGGAAATTCGTACTACTGTGTACTAAATTTGGTACAATTTTAATTGTGTACGCATAGTACTATATCGCACTATAATTGGTACAACTTGGATTTGGATGAACCAATAGAGCTGTGATCCATAAATTTGGAGTTATTAACATTGTTGGCGTGTAGGTATAGTACCAAATTTAGATTTGGGTGAACCGATAGAGCTGGAATCTTGACATTTGGAGTTAGGATCACTGTTGTAGGTAGAATTGAGTTATTTACGAAGTTTTGGAAATTCCTACGAATGTGAACTACATTTTGTTCAATTTAAATTTTGAGTGAACCGATGTATGACAAATTTTGGAAATTTTTACCAAATGGTACCAAATTTGGATTTGGGTGAACCGATAGAGCTGGAATCTTAAAATTTGATTATAGGATCACCGTTTGGGGTGTAGGATTGGGCTATGTACAAAGTTTTGAAAATTCGTACTAATGTGTACCGAATGGTACCAAATGTGGATTTGGTTGTACCGATAAGACTGGAACACTGAAATTTGGAAATATGGTTAATGTTGGATTGCACGATTGGGGTATGGATTAAGTTTTGGAAATTCATACCTATGGGTACTAAATTGTACTAAATTTGTTACAATTTGAATTTTGGTTGAACCGATAGAGCTGAGATCCTGAAATATGGAGTTGGGATCATTGTTTGGATGTAGGATTGGGATTTTGTAGACGGTTTTGGAGTTTCGTACTAATGCGTACTAAATGGTACCAAATTTGGATGAACCGATTGAGCTGGAATCGTAAAATTTGATGTTAGGGGTGTACGATTGAGCTATGTATAAAGTTTTGGAAATTCGTACTAATGTGTACTAAATGGTACCAAATGTGGATTTGGGTGAACCGATAAAGCTGGAGCACTGAAATTTTGATAATATGGTTAATGTTGGAGTGTAAGATTGGGATATGGATTAAGTTTTGAAAAATTCATACCTATGGGTACTAAATTGTACTAAATTTGGTACAATTTCAATTTTGTTGAACCGATAGAGCTGCGATCCTGAAATTTGGAGTTGGGATCATTGTTTGGATGTAGGATTGGGCTTTGTAGAAGGTTTTGGAGATTCGTACTAATTTGTACTAAATGGTACCAAATTTGGATTTGGGTGAACCGATAGAGCTGGAATCTTAAAATTTGATGTTAGGATCACCGTTTGGGGTGTACGATTGGGCTAGGTATAAAGTTTTGACAATTCGTACTAATGTGTACCAAATGTACCGATTTAGATGTACCGATAGAGCTGGAGCATTGTAATTTGGAAATATGGTTAATGTTGAAGTGTACATATATATATATATATATATATATATACATAAAATCCCTATTTGTTTTTCATTTTTGTGTTGACTTTTTACCACTTGTGTATATTTTTTATTTTATTATTTCCCTGTTCTTCCTTTTTTCCCATTTGCATAAATAGCTCAAAATAATTAGCAAAATTTATCAGTTTGCCTTAGATTGTCGATTGCATAGCATAGGATCCAATCCGAATACAACGGTAATTAAATTTTTTAAATATGGAAAATTTAGGAAAGTTTCTCGGGACTGAATCTGTCGAAAGAAATTTCATAACCAAAGTACTGGAGCTTCGGTGATATCGCTCCACTTTGAACGGCTACAGTGTTCCATAGTCAGTTCATTTCATCCACATCCACAAGAAAATCTTCGATGAAACAACATATTGCAATTTAAAAATTCTCAATTAAGTGATTGACAAAAATACTAAAAATGTTTTAATAAAAATATTTGTGTGTGTTTGATTTTGTACTGAAAAAAAAAAATTAGTAATTTTTATTAAAAAAAAAGCTTTTAAAAATATATTGAAAAACTAAAATCAATATCATGTAATTCTAATCAAGAAGCGGAAATTTTTATCGATCTGGCAAATTGTCAAAAAATCGGAAAAGAAACAAATGAAAAATGAAAGAAATAAACCGCCGCATACTGCGTGGCGCCCAATCAATTCACGGTGAAAGAGAGATCTTCGATTGATTTTTGTTATGTTTTGTTGACAACAAAATAGATAAAGAAACTAATAGTTGTTGCAATCAAACAAGTGTGTTAAATGTGCAATAAAATATATTTTTAAAAAGGTTTTTTTTTCAAATCGGTTCCGGTTTAGATATAGCTCCCATATATATTTTCGTCCGATTTAATGTAAATGGTGCACCAAGTGCCTATATATCTTTCGATTTGCACGTAATTTGGCACAGCGTAATGAATTAGGTCGAGAGTGATGTGTGTTAAGTTTCGTGAAAATCGGTTCAGATTTAGATATAGCTCCCATATACATTTTCGTCCGATTTAATATAAATGGTCCACCAAAGTCCCTATATATCCTTGGATTTGCACGAAATTTTGCACAGCGTAATGAATTACGTATATCATGATGTGTGTTAAGTTTCGGGAAAATCGGTTCAGATTTAGATATAGCTCCCATATACATTTTCGTCCGATTTAAGGTAAATGGTGCACCAAAGTGCCTATATATCTTTCGATTTGCACGAAATTTGGTACAGCGTTATGATTTAGGTATAGAATGATGTGTGTTAAGTTTCATGAAAATCGGTTCAGATTTAGATATAGCTCCCATATATATTTTCGTCCGATTTACAGCAAATGGTCCCTATATATCTTTCGATTTGCACGAAATTTTGCACAGCGTAATGAATTAGGTCTAGAATAATGTGTGTTAAGTTTCGTGAAAATCGGTTCAGATTTAGATATAGCTCCCATATATATTTACGTCCGATTTTATGTAAATGGTGCTTCAAAGTGCCTATATATCTTTCGATTTGCATGAAATTTGGCACAGCATAATGAATTAGGTCTAGAATGATGTGTGTTAAGTTTCGTGAAAATCGGTTCAAATTTAGATATAGCTCCCATATATATTTTCGCCTCAGTTGGACCTTGAAAAATATTCTTTAATAAATCCACGCCTCAGTTGGACCTTGAAAAATATTCTTTAATAAATCCACGCCTCAGTTGGACCTTGAAAAATATTCTTTAATAAATCCACGCCTCAGTTGGACCTTGAAAAATATTCTTTAACGCCTCAGTTGGACCTTGAAAAATATTCTTTAATAAATCCACGCCTCAGTTGGACCTTGAAAAATATTCTTTAATAAATCCACGCCTCAGTTGGACCTTGAAAAAATATTCTTTAATAAATCCACGCCTCAGTTGGACCTTGAAAAATATTCTTTAATAAATCCACGCCTCAGTTGGACCTTGAAAAATATTCTTTAATAAATCCACGCCTCAGTTGGACCTTGAAAAATATTCTTTAATAAATCCACGCCTCAGTTGGACCTTGAAAAATATTCTTTAATAAATCCACGCCTCAGTTGGACCTTCAGATTTGGTACCATTCTGTACTTTCCGTACCCTTATTGCAAACCTCTATCAATCCTACACTCCCACAGTAACCTATGTTGAAAATTGCAGGATTCGAATTCTACCCGTTCATCAAAGTCCAGATTGTACCAAATTTTGTCCTTTTCGTACCGATAAGTACGAATTTCCAAAACTATCTCAGTCATGCACTGCAATAATAACCTTTAGGGATTCCAGCCCTATCCGTTCACCAACATACAAACTGTACCAAAATTAGTACCATTTATTACATTTCGTAAATTCAACTTGCACCAAATTTAGTACTTTTCGTACAAATAAGTACGATTTTTTAAAGCTACCTCAATCCTATACTCCAGTAGTAGTTCAAAATTTCAGGCTTCATTTAAACGCAAAAATAGTACTAAATTTAGTACCATTTTGTACTTTTTATATAAATATGTACTAATTTCATAAACCATTTCCATTTCATTTCATAGCGAATTCTTGACCTCCGCCCCCCGCAATAAAATGGAACACTTCACCACAGAATTCAATGGTACCCTGTCGCAGCATCTGGATCGTGGGCAATATTTTGAAATTGAATTTGAGACTGTGGAGAATCCCAAAAAGTAAGTAGCCAATATAGTCCTCACCTCCCCCGAAACCACTTACCTAATTTTTGATCCCTTACAGAACTCAAATTGCCTTTGCCAAGACAAAGCTGAACAAAGATCAGGACACGGATATTGGAATGTTGTTGGTCTTGAATTATGTGAATAACCTGATAACAGCCAATTCTCGTTATGGTGGTGAATGGGTTAATGCCGCTGAGGTGCAATGTGAAATTGCCCGGCTGTGGCGTGAACCGATCAAGCTGACCATTCATTTGTGGGAGGAAAGTTTCCATGTGGCGGTGAATGGTAAACATCGGATACGCCTCAACTATTGTGGCAATATTCACCTGCTGCAGGCTCTACAAATCGATAATGATGTGAGACGTATTTTGCGGGTGGATCATCGTAACACATATCCGACCCCATGGCCTTTGTGGTGTCGGGTACATGCCCCCTATGGGGATGAAGTGAATTATTTTAGTTGTGATGTTCCCGCTCCACCCTATCAGGGTTTGATGGTGGTTATTCGGGTGCGTTGCTTTGGTGAAAGGGGGAGGCTGAATATCAATACGAAGCATGAAGTGCGGGGCAAGCTGTTCGCTCACTTTAGCATCAGGTTCGATGAGAATTGTGTGGTACGGAATAATATGGTGGATAATAAGTAAGTAAGGCAAGGGGAAGTCGTGTAGAGGTTTTCAACGATCGGAAGGCTTTCCATAGGTCTCACAAAGATTGAGGTGGCCTTCAAGGGACCGGGGAAGGCCTTTAGGGACAAAATCCAAATCCTTTAATTCAACCTTTTTCTCTATTGATTCATTTCAATTTTATTATTTTTTTCAGATATGGTGAGGAGGATCGCAATACAGATTTTCCATTTGATTTTGATCGTGAATTCCGCCTGGGCATCGCTTGTGGAGAGAAGGCATTCCTACTGGCTTGCAATGGCATGAATATGGGCCAGTTTGTCTATCGTGATACCAGTGATCTGCAACTGTCCACCGTGGGCGGTTTTAATATGTACAGCACCCAAGGTCTAATGTTCAAGGTTACCGAATTCGATTATATCCCGCTGAATGGCCCGGAGTGTAAATGTTACGAAAGGCATACAATACAATAAAAATAATTATGTAACAATTTTTTTTTAAGTTATCATTTCAAAAAAAAAAAAAATAATTAAAAAAATGTGTGGATTTTTTAAAATTAATTTTTGGAGATCTCAGCCAAGGCGTGGATTTTTTTAAAATTCATTTTTCGAGGTTTGAGAGTCTCCACCAAGGCGTGGGGTTTTTAAAATTAATTTTTCGAGGTTTGAGAGTCTCTACCAAGGCGTGGGGTTTTTAAAATTAATTTTTCAAGATTTGAGAGTCTCCACCAAGGCGTAGATTTTTTAAAATTAATTTTTCGAGTTTTGAGAGTCTCCACCAAGGCGTGGGGTTTTTAAAAGTATTTCTTTTCATTTATTTTTATAAAAATTAATTACAATTTCCGTTATAGAAAACAATTCCCCCAGAACCCACCCCACGACATGTAATATCCAAATCCATTGAAAATCCTCCACCCTGAGGGCATTCAGTTCCTCTTCACGACTAGGGTAATGTAAAGGTACAAATCCAAGTTTCACCATATGGCCATAAGTTTCAGCAATCCAGGCGGCCATCAACCCCCGTTCATGGACCAAATGTATTAAATAATTCAAAGGTTACCTATAAGGAGAATCCGCGGGCATCGGAATACCACATATCATCATATCGTGAAGATTCATGGCAGCGGGTATGTGAAATATATTTCGACGAAAATATCCTTGTCTACGATGATAGGAATTCCACAGCGGGGGACTGGACCACATATCCGTAGGTGGTGTTGAAATTTTGACGAATTATAAAAAATCGGAAACATTTTCTACAACCACAGCTACGTGATGCCAATGCTTGAACCATTGACCCATAATAACGGCATCGGCAGGTTGTAGGAGAATTTTTACCGAGGATCCTTCCAAATCCTTGAGATTTTTAAATTGCCTATGATAGGGTGGGGAGGTGAAATAGCTGTGCACCTTGGCCGCAAACTCCGTGTTGATGATCAGACCAATTATGGCAATGAACAGATAAATCATCCTCAGACCCATCAGGCGGGTGGAATGTTCATTGAATGATTGACCTAAAATCCCAGGATATACTTCGAAAAGATGCCAATTCCATGTTATTTTCTTAAAAAAATAATCAATGAGGCCTAGAAGTAGGGAGAACATCCAAGAGGCCACACAGAGGACGAGAAAAACATCGAAGGCCCCAAAGCAAATGGAAAACCTCATCGATGTCCAGCTGCGGGGTAAGGGGTACCATAATGGCTACTTTATTCAGCAATACCGCATAGGAGAATTTTTACCGAGGATCCTTCCAAATCCTTGAGATTTTTAAATTGCCTATGATAGGGTGAGGAGGTGAAGTAGCTCTTCACCTTAGCCGAAAACTCCGTGTTGATGATCAGACCAATTATGCCAATGAATAGATAAATCATCCTCAGACCCATCAGTCGAGTGGAATTTTCGTTGATTGACCCAAAAATCCCAGGAAATACTTCGAAAAGATGCCAATTCCAGGTTATCTTTTCGAAAAAAAAACATCAATGAGGCCTAGAAGTATAGAGAACATCCAAGAAGTAGTATGAGAAAAAAATCGGAGGCCCAAAAGCAAATGGAAAACATCATCGATGTCCAGCTGCGGGGTAAGGGGTACCATAATGGCTACTTTATTCAGCAATGCCGCATAGGAGAATTTTCACCGCATAGGAGAATTTTCAAAAAAAATAATCAATGAGACCCAGAAGTATGGACAACATTCAAGAGGCCACATAGAGAATGAGGAAAAATCGAAGGCCCCAAAGCAAATGGAAAACCTCATCGATGTCCAGCTGCGGGTTAAAGGGTATCATAAAGGCCACTTTATTCAGCAACACCGCATAGGATATATCACATCAATTACCTCTACCCTCCTCATTCAAGGTCATGGGTAGGTCAAGCAAATCCCCCTTCACCATATGGGTGATTTCGGTAAAATGCACAGCCTTATGGGCATCGAGCGGCTGATACATCTCCAAATGGGGATTGAAATATTCGCCGAATAAAAATAACAATCGGTCAGAAAAACACTGAGGCGAATGCTGCCCTTGGTATCTTCAAATATCAAGGTATTGGGTGGGATATGTTCCGGTTGGGTGTAGAGGGTTTTGTTGTAAAAATTCCCCCAATTGGGTGGTTGGAATATGCCTACCTTGGATTTTAGAGGTTTCAAGTGCCATGAATATTCCGGATAAGGTTGTAGGTAATAATATTTTTCTTCGGGTGGCTAGTGGACTATGACATTTGTCATTTTATATTTTTCACACAGCCCCAGAAAATCCTGCAGGAACTCAAGGATATCCCTTACCTCCCAAGACATTAGAATAATTCTAATTTGGCGAATATTTTTCAAACTTCGTGCGACCGATTTAGATTTTTATTCAAATTTTGATGCATAAAAATCACCGTAAACATTTCCGAATTATAGTGGTCACTCATAGGCACCTCATGGCCCTCCAGCATATTCAGTTTGGATAACACTTCAAAATCCGAAAATAAATCCCAATTTTTATTATCCAATCCACGATCTCCATACAGCAGTAAGGTGGAGAATGGATCTTCTCTATGCATGGCATCCGGTAGGGACTTGGAAACATTTTTATACCCTTCACCACACTGTGGTACAGGGTATTATGTCTTTGTGCATATGTTTGTAACAGGCAAAAATAATCGAGATAGACCCATGGTTCCTTTTGAGAATATGCATAGAATCACATTCTAAGTCGATTTATGCATGTCCGTCCGTCCGTCTGTCTGTCTGTCTGTCTGTCCATGTTAAATTGTAAACAAAGTACAGGTCGCATTTATGATCCGAATTGGATGAAATTTGGCATAGGTCTTTTAATCGGCCCATTTACATAATTGAATTTGTAGAGAAAATAAAACAGGGAGAATATTTTTCGAGACAACCACATAGGACGAACCCTATTGAAATTGGGAAAAATCGGTTCAGATTTAGATATAGCTCCCATATATATATTTAACCGATTTAATGTAAACGGTCCCTATATATCTTTCGATTTGCACGAAATTTGGTACAGGCTAATCATTTAGGCCTATAATGATGTCTGCCAAGTTTCGTGAAAATCGGTCCAGATTTAGATATAGCTCCCATATATAGTTTCGTCCGATTTCAGGTAAATGGTGCCCCAAAGTCCCTATATATCTTTTGATTTGCACGAAATTTGGCATAACGTACTGAATTAAGCCTAGAGTGATTTCTGCCAAGTTTAGAGAAAATCGGTCCAGATTTAGATATAGCTCCCATATATAGTTTCGTCCGATTTCATGTAAATGGTACCCCAAAGTCCCTATATATCATTCGATTTCCACGAAATTTGGCATAACGTACTGAATTGAGCCTAGAATGATGTCTGTCAAGTTTCATGAAAATCGGTCCTGATTTAGATATATCTCCAATATATAGTTGCGTCTGATTTCATGTAAATGGTGCCCCAAAGTCCCCATATATCTTCCGATTTGCACGAAATTTGGTACAGCCTTATCATTTAGGTCTAGAATGTTTCGTCCGATTTCATGTAAATGGTGCCCCAAAATTTGGCATAACGTATTGAATTGAGTCTAGAATGATGTCTGCCAAGTTTCATGAAAATCGGTCCTGATTTAGATATATCTCCCATATAGTTTCGTCCGATTTCATGTAAATGGTGCCCCAAAGTCCCTATATATCTTTCGATTTGCACGAAATTTGGAACAGCCTAATAATTTAGGTCTAGAATGATGTATGTAAAGTTTCGTGGAAATCGGCCAGATTTAGATATAGCTCCCATATATAGTTTCGTCCGATTTCATGTAAATGGTACCCCAAAGTCCCTATATATCTTTCGATTTGCACGAAATTTGGCATAACGTACTTAAGTGAGCCTAGAAGGATGTCTGCCAAGTTTTATGAAAATCAGTCCAGATTTCTATATAGCTCCCACTTATAGTTTCGTCCGATTTCATGTAAATGGTGCCCCAAAGTCCCTATATATCTTTAGATTTGCACGAAATTTGGTACAGCCTAATAATTTAGGTCTAGAATGATGTATGTAAAGTTTCGTGAAAATCGGTCCAGATTTAGATATAGCTCCCATATATAGTTTCGTCCGATTTCATGTAAATGGTACCCCAAAGTCCCTATATATCTTTCGATTTGCACGAAATTTGGCATAACGTACTGAATTGAGCCTAGATTGATGTCTGCGTTGTTTCGTGAAAATCGGTCCACATTTAGGTATAGCTCCCTTTTATTATAGATTGATTTTAAGTACTTGACGCACCAAGGAACCAATAGAAACAAAACGTTCTGAAATTAGTATAACGTATCCTATTTATATTTGTTTGAAGTCGATTTACATACTTTATGGAGAGATCTACGTAGATTCACATTTAGATAAATATCACATATTTTATTTCATTCAAGTTCATGCTAATAGTCCTGTTTAATATACCCATAGTGGTGAAGGGTATCATATAGTCGGCCCCGTCCGACTTTACAACTTTCCTTACTGGTTTAATTTTGTTTCAACTCCAATTTTTTTCAAAATTCCAAATTTTCCTCTCCGAAGAACAACAAATTTTAGCCACTAAGCAAAATATTCCGCACAAAAAAATCAAATGTCCCGGCGAGGCGAACATGCTGACTTGATGACTGAGATTGACTACCTAGAGGCTCTTGCATACGTTAGCCGTCAATGGTAGATTTTTTGTTTGTTCCGAACCCCTTTTCTGTTAATTGTTTCAATTAACATTTATGATGGGGGTGGAGCGGGCGATTTCAAGAGATTTATGATAAGATAGAAATCCTGTAGGAGGTTCTAATTTACATAATTGAATTTGTAGAGAAAATACATCAAGGAGAATATTTTTCCAGACAACCACATAGGAGCTGATTTTTATCAGCCTACACAACTATGTTGTCAGGGTATTATAGCTTTGTGCAGCCCCAATAGTTTGTAATGCCGCGAAATATTCGTCCTAGACCCACCTTTAAGTATACCG